CTACTACTACTACTACTACTACTACTACTATTATTTATTTTGTTCCTGGAAATATCTTCTTGTCAGTACAGTTTCCATCTGCCAGTCAAATATTATTTAATGTTCATATTAAACACTACTGTCTCTCGTTTCATTTTTCCATGTTTTGTTCATGACATTAAATGTAAAATATTTGTGACAGAAAAGTCGGTGAATAAAAATCTTCGAATTTGCAAATTATTCTATTAAAAATCCCACTTTTAAGAACTCGAGGGTTTTTTTTTGTTCTTTTTTTTGCATGATTCTTGAGCTGTCAAAGAATTTAAGTTCACATTAAGCTGGTTTATCCCTGTCTAAGTTTAGTCCTTATTAAGCCCAAGCAGTGTTGCCTTTATAACTTTATTCAAATATCACAACCAAAAAAAAGAAATTATATGAGAAGCAACTCTAGCATCTTGTCTGTATGTGTCTGTTTAACAATTGAGTCTTGTCAGATGTCTTTTACTCATTTTAAACCTAAAAATGTAATCTTGAATTTGGCTTTGAGGCCAAACAACAGCAACATACTAAAAACTCCTCTATTGCTCAAAAGGGCAATGACCAAAAAAGTATTTTGCTTTGAGCAATTTTTACATTTGATTTTAATTTTGTGCTCAAACAATGTTTAGGGTCACATTTTCTTTTTTAAAATCATTTAAAAGTTTCTCTAATTTTCAGGCATCATTATGTCTGTGAAGAGCTCCTGGAGAGAAAGCATAAGAACTGAAAATGTGAGGTTACATCTACAGTAACTAAGCATAAGCAAAGAGATTCTGACATCAATCAGTGTAACAGTAAAATGTTTTGTTTTGTGCTTTTGCCAAAAACCTTAAATGCAAATGAGCTCATTGGTTAAATGATAAAGAAGTCTGATAAGCCGTACTTGTTAAAACACATTTCTTTTCCCATTTTAATACTTTGACCTCTTTTTTTCTTCAGAGAGCAGATAACGCACGAAAAAGACACTTTCATGGAGCGTAAACAGGGTAACGATCAGCTCCACGTCAACGTACCAGTTCTTCTTCTGTGACCCGTGTAAACAGAGGATGTTCGGCGAAGTGTTTCACCATCCAGAGGTGGACTTCCTCCACATCTGTTATGGTGTACACTAAACCCTGACGAGAGCAGACAAGGTTAATAAAACACTTCTGAGAAAGAAAGAAAAAGAGGTTAATGAAGGTTTACAGAGGAATAAAACACAAATCTGACTTCTGATTTATAATTCTTTTTATGTTTCCAAGTGAGGCTTCCCTTATAGGAAGATAAAAATAGTTTGCAGATTGGGTCTACCTCCTGGGTTCGGGTGTGTGCGGCCCCCATTAGGGGGTGGGTACATGTCCTGGACCTGGGGGGTATAGAGTGTGTATCGGG